ATATATATGTAGTATCTAAAATACTAGCTTTATAAAATTAAAAGGATCTTTTGAGACTAAACTCAAAAAGAATTATATCTATCTGCAGATAAGCTTATCTGGTCTCTGAGAACATTAAATTTCTCTTTCACATACTTAACTTGGCTCTTCGCGTATACATTTAGTCCCGTTGAATAGCGATGAAATCTTTATTTATAAAATGAATCCACCCCGCACAATAAGAAGCCAAATTCCCATGAAAATCAAGACTATGTTGAGATATCAATTCATCTCCATCTGGTCTTCAGATGTTACAGAACGCCGGTCCTAACAAAGAAGATATAAAAAATGATCTGGATTATTTGGGTCACATGACATGAAGGAAATTATATGTAACACGTAAAAAAGTGTACACTTATCTTTTAGAAATGAAACTGTAAGCATCTATCCGGGAGCTCTGCTCCGTGTATATATAATTTGTAAATAGATTCCTTATTCTTAATCTCAATAAAAGCATATGTTGTCACCCTTATATAAAGGATATTAAAAATATTAAAATATGACTGCAAATACTACGAAATGCAATATAATGATTAATGAAAAGAAACGGCTCAAGAGTTTACGAGGAGGAAGAACGAGAACGAGCACTACATATATTTTTTTCAAAATATTTTGAAAATAATATTTAAATTTATTAATAAATTTACCAGTTATTATTATATTATAAATTGTAATATTAATTATTTAAATTTACAAGTTATTATTATATTATAATAAATTGTAATATTAATTATTTAAATTTATTAATATTATAACTAATAAACTACATTTTAAAGTTTTAAAAAGCAAACAAACGTGAAGCGAAATTACGGCATCATTTTCTATAAAAGCATGTCCCATATTTATGTAATTATTCTATTCATTGTATGTAGGTAGCTACCAGACAAGCGTGTAACCAAGTAATGAAACTAAGTTTCGAGTGCAAATAATGAATAAATTGCGTGGGAGGTGTCGTGTTCGTTCATGTGTGTGAGATAAGTTTTGTTTCATTGTTCAGAAGAAATCACATTTTCTTATTTCTCTATGACGTTTTTAGTAGAGGGTAAAAAAGCAAAATAGCTACATTTTTTTTCCAAAATATTACGGGATAATAAAATGTTGAAAATTTAGTTACTTGTTTTGTTATTTAAAAAAAAACATAACGCAATCAATTATTTTGTATGTATTCGTATTTGTATTCTAAAAATGTCCTTGTATTTGAATTAGAAAGATTTTGTTTACAATTGAATTAGAAAACATTTGCATTATTTTGAGTTAAAACAAGTTGATTGCATTTGAATTGAAACAAATTTGATTGCATTTGAATTAGAGAAATTTTTTTTTTTTTTTAGAATGTAAAGTTTGTATTTAAAAAAGAACAAGATTTGTCCTTCTGTCTTCACATTTTAATGGAAATTATTTGAATATGTTTTACCATTTACAAATTTTTCTTATTTTTTAAACAATATAGCTTAGAAATTTACGAAAGAGCACTCCATAAATTTTGTGAAGCGTATATTTTATTTTACTTCGTCGATAAAAAAAATTTAAAATTTGGTTTTTAATTTTGATATTTAATTTTTTAAAAGAAATTTAAAATTAGAATATAATAATAGAAAAGTTTTATAATTTTTTTAAAAATACTTTTAGAAAAAAGTACGGAAGACAAATTAAAAATCAATTAATTTTACTGAAAAAAAATTGAAATTTTTTAATGTCTAATCATAATGATGCCAACTACCATAAAAATTACAAACACCATATTTTTAAAGTTTTAAATGTTTCTAAAGATACAGTATCAAAAATTTGTGAACTAATTTTGTTGATTTGAATAAAATTCACTAAAATTTCGAGACTGTGTACGTTAAAAAGTATTAAAATTGTGCCCCGGGCTCCTTTAACTGAAAACATTTTTTATGACACGATTCTGCTGTTTTCAGTTTTTTAAATTTTTTTTTATATTTGTAAATCATGGGTCCAAGCGATTCTATTTTAAGTATTATTATATTTCATTCTATAGACTTACTGATATGTTGGCATGCAGCAAGTATTTTTTATCTTCCTATGTGAGAGATCATATATACATAAATCTAGAACCGGTTCTCTAAGACAGAAAATCTGTGTATTAAAAACTGGTAAATGAGACTGAAAAGATGAATGCTCTCACTTTACGAACGACGAATACTAAATGTCTTGAAATGAATGACCTTTGCATCAATCATATAACATTGTGACGTCAGAGACTATTTGGCGCAAAGCGCAACTTTAAAAAAAATGTTTTTTTAATTTAAAAATAATAATAATGTGATTTTCGATATGATAGGTTTTATCAATGAGTTAATCTGTGAACCATTTAATGCAATAATTTGCACAAATTAAGCTAGTAACTCCAGTTATGTACGAAAAAATAAAATAAATAATTAAACTAATAAAATGAACAAATAAAATTAATTACTAAAATTAAATGAATTACTAAAACTAAATAAATTACTAAAACTAAATAAATTACTAAAACTAAATAAATAACTAAAACTAAATAAATAACTAAAACTAAATAAATAAGATTAAATGAATAAATATTAAATCGAAATTTCGATTCTGAATTTACGAACCACTAACTGAAAACTCGTACTCTTCTTTTATTTATAAGTGGATTCGCCAATAATTAGTCCACTCACTAATAATTGAATAGCCTATTCTGATTAAACGTTGATTAATTGATTATTTTTTAATTCACTTCCTCCCCCCCATTTTTTCCTTCCGTTCATTTGCAGTCGCATGTAATTCACTGTAACTAAGAGACTCCGCCCCCTGCTTGCTTACGCTCGACAACCCTCGGTACTTCTTTCTAAGTTTCCTTCAGATCGCTTCGCTCACTCATTGGGTACGTTGCTCCTGTCTATTTTTGTGTAGTTTTGTGAATACTTAAGTTTAGAATAAATATTTAACAAAACTTTCCTCTGTACAAAATTCTAAATATATGTTTGAAATAATAAATAATAATTAAACATAATTTTTTTTGCGTGGAATTTTCTTTGGATAAACGTATTTAATAATTGTAAGCAAAACTTATATTCAATTCGCTTAAAAAGTTCTCGAATGGCAAAATTCGAAAAAAGTAAAACTTTGGATCTCTCTAATGAACAAACTATCAAGACCATTTTTCTTAAATTGCGACTGCTGCCTATGTTTTTGACGTCAAAAATCATAATCCATCATAAAAAACGTATGTTTATTCAGAGAAAGTACGCTTTTGTGTCTAATTTCGTAACTTAAACATTGTCGGCACTAAATTAGCTTATTTGAAGTCACCTTTTCAAAACATTAAGGCAAGCTTGTAGTACGTGAAAATCCAATTATTAGAACAAAGGTTATTCAGAGAGTAACGTTTAATTATTTATTTTTTGCGCAGTGTACATACACAACAGTAAATTTTAAGTTATTTTGATGATGCAATACGAATTAAATTGAACTAAAGGATATCACTTTGGAAATACTTGAATTGAAGCTTTATGGTAATGGGAAATTCAAGTCGAACGGGAAATAATCAGATATTGATGTTCTTTTTTAGTAGATTTTATTTAGTAGGTGTCTTTTTCATTAGATGTTGCTTTGTGTTTAATGCTTATGACTGCGCAGTTGCTTGATATTTCAGTACTCTGCTGTTAATGCGAAAAAATAAACTGCATAACTTTTTCAGCTGCATACGCATTTGTGTTTTACATAGTATAGATATCTACCATTGCAACACTTATCTGAAATATGTTTTTAAATTAAAACTATAAATTCTTAAGAATATCTAAGAAAAATAAATAAAATGAATGAACAAATGAATAAACAAATGAATGATAAAATAAATGAACAAATGAATAAACAAATGAATGATAAAATAAATGAACAAATGAATGAACAAATGAATGATTAAATAAATGAACAAATACGAACAAAAATAAATAAATAAGTAAAAGACTTGGTATAAAAGGCGAAATAAAAATTATGAATGGTAGTCATAGCAATGAAAAGACTTTTGCTATTGAATAAAATTTGCCTTTAAAGTAAAAATTCTTTACTTTCAAGCGAACAAATTTGCAAAGTTAAAAAACGTTAGATCTTAAAATATTGATGCTTGATCTTGGCATTTCACAATTAATTTGCTGTTAAAATTAACCTTCTAGGTTTGGTTCTATTTTACTTAGTAGTATTTTTTTTAACTTTCTAATTTATTTTGTTAGCATAGGTAATTTTTATAAAACAAAAATTTTGCAACATTATAATTAAAACCTCTAGGATCATATTAAAAACAAGTTATTATTCTATAATTCAATTTTGTTTCTTTTTCAGGCAGGTAGGAAAAAAAATAGAAATGAATTACACACTATTACTGTGTGTAATATGTATGATACTGTGTGTGTCTTTTGCCCAAGATTCTCCATCTCAAGAGTAAGTTCATGTTATAAATTTATAGAAATATTTATAAAATAGAGAGTTATAGTTATTAAATTTGTAAAAGAAATTTACTTTAATTTTAATCACATTTATTGGTTCTGTCATTTTATACTTGTATTTTTTAGTATTAGTCAATTCAAAAATTGCATTTTTATAACGAAAAATCAATAATTTCAAATGTACATAAATATTTATAGTATTTTGCAAATATTTTTTTAGATTTATTGCATTTTAATCAAGGTTATGAATCCGTTATGCGTCATGTCCTTGATGATAATCTTAATAGCAAAAAAATTAATTTAACCACAAATATAAAATGTATATTCGTGATTTTTATACTATGGAGGAGGCAATATTGGTTTTATGATATAATTTTAAATTTAAACTCATTTTTATTTCGGTATTTAAATTTAAAATTTAGTTATGCATTATCCCTAGAATGGATTTAAAATCGCTTCATAATTTTAAAAAAAAATAAAAATAATAATCATTGAAATCAATGGTTTGGAATTGCTACCTTTTCAATGTTGTTGGTGTTTCTAATAGCACTTGCCAAATACCAGCAAGCCTGCGTGGTGAAACCAAAGGAATTTAAGGCACAGGCTGTGTTTCTTGTTTTTCAGTGGCGCCATTTATAGCCAAAAATACGACTTCAGTCACACACACAACACAGTCAATTCTATAAGGTGGATCCATATATTCATTCATTTACAGATCGTAATTTTGACCTGAACCTTAGAAAGATCAATTTCAATTCAGAGGGCAATGATTTGATTAAGGGTTAATTTATTTTCATGTTTTGATAAATATGTGTTTAAAATGTAAGGTTAAAAAATTAGGTCATAAAATTATATTTACTGTGTTAGCTACTAAATTACCTCCATTTTATTTCAATATCTAAACTTTTTGCATGACATTAAACGTTTTTGGCATAATGCTTTGGATTAATCGAAACAGGAGGTTTTCCTATCTGAATCTATGTTTTGACCTTTTTTGTTCGAAATCTAATTTATGTTAACTTTCATATTAAAGGTCCGAAAAGTGAGCATTTTAAATACCTCATTCTTTTTGAATTGAATGAAGGTTCTGAGGTCTCAAAAGCTGCCTGTGAAATTTGTGCCCCGTAAGGAGAGGATGTGCCGTAGCTAAAAGAGCCACTCATGATCAGTATGCCAAGTTTACAAAATGTAAATTTTGACCTCAAACACGCACTTTATTTTTATTGTATATATTAGTTCGAGGAAGGATGGTTAAAGCAACTTCCTGAAAATGGAATGTTTCCACTCTTTAAACACGCTGGGAATTTAATTGCCAACCTTTAAAATTTATGGAAAATATTAGAATACTGAACAAAAAATTTGCCATTTTTGTTTCTGACAAACGATTTAGGGTGTCCCGTAAGCGAATTGACAAAACATACCGTAGATTGCAAAGGGTTGGCGAAAATTTCTATTGGCGTTAAAGGAGCGTTCTCGCAAATCGCCAAACAGCTGTGTGCTTATGATTTTGTTTTGTTTTCGGTATCGCATAACATTCAACAAGTTAGATATGGATGCGACATTTCAATTAAGCGGGTCTTAATTTGATTCTTCTGCATCAAATAAAATATAAAGCGTATTTTTTTGTTATAGCGCCGACATAATCGTTTGTATCTGTTGACCAAATTGTGTTTATTAGCGTTTTTCAAAAGGTCGTAATAGAACTAAGATAGAAAAATTACACATTATTACTTATTCTATAGTTTCATAACTTTCATTAAATGTATTTCGAGTAGTGAAATTCTTTTCCTACTCATCCACTAATTCGAATTAATAATTTCACAATAACCTTTAATCCTTAATAATGAAATGATTATTATAATAAAGTTTGTTTACTTAAAATATTTAAAAAAAAGTTTTTTATTGTTTAGCAGAGACTTAGTTTCCAATTCTATATTCATTAATTAAACTTAATGGCTCTGCTCGATAACCATTTACAATTTTTTCAAAATTTTACTTAATTTTCTGTTATTATGAAATTCTTTAAATATTTTTCGACGTAGAGATTATTTAGCAATAATGCGAAAAGCTGAAATTTATAAATGTATAATACTTATAAATGTTTAAGAGAATTTTTAGCAGCTATTTTGTACTAATTATTTTAATTGAAATGTTCATTATACGCAGTTTTATAATAATAATCGTAAAATTCATATGAACAATTGAGTATTACATTTTAAAATGCAAGTATCTTACTATATATAAAATTCTAATGATGGTGTCGCAGTTTTCCATTGTTGTTCGTGCATTTTTATTGGCCAGAAAACCACGTGGTAGGATCCAGTTTTCCCTCATTCATTTCCATATTGTTTAGGTTGTCATCAGCACAAAATTAACAATAGTCGTAAAGGTATTGTTTTTCTTTGAATATTTTTGTATCCCTAATTTAAACTTATTTTCCAGTACTGCTACTATTAGCGAGAGTATTAAATTATGTTTGTGAACTCATCAAATTTGTTTGAACAATACAATGCTATAAGAATATAAATGTTATTTTAAAAAATGATTACTTCGAAAATTCACTTCCGTTCACCAAGAGATCTAATATTTGGGTAAAGTAATATTTGAGAGTAATATTTAGACGTGGGAAGTAGAGGCACAAGAGTAAGTAAACAGAATTCCTTTTAGTACATATATGTTAAGTGAATAATTTTAAATTTAATAGAAAAATTGTTTTCTGCCAAGAAAAGACAATTATTGCGAAGCAATATTGCAAAGCAATAATCGGGGTTGGTGAGCGGCA